GGGTAGAATGTCTTAATAACTTGGGTAGAATATTAGGCATGTATAACCTAAATAGAAACAAAAATTGTATATTATATGTATGTATATATATATATTTTTAAATCTAAAAAAGCATGAAATCATAACAAGAAGATTGTTGACATTAATGTATTATTTTTTTCCTTTTTTAGATATTTGGTGTATAATGGTGATTTGACAGAGTTTGATGTGGACAATATGGTCCTAATCCAGAAAGTCCATGCTTTCCTGATGAATGACTGCTTGCTCATTGCCACTGTGTTACCAACTCGTAGGGGCATGTACAAGTACAATGCTCTGCATAACTTAGATGACCTTGCTGTAGTAAATGTTAAGGAAAACCCTCCTATGAAAGACATGTTTAAGATTCTTATGTTCCCTGAGAGTCGCATCTTCCAAGCAGAGAATGCAAAGATTAAAAAAGAGTGGCTGGAAGTGTTGGAAGAAACAAAAAAGAACAAAGTATTAAATGAGAAACAGGAAAAAGAAGAGGAAGCCCCACATTCTCCTGTTTTGTCTATGTCATCAAACCCATTCAAAGATAAGGAAATACATGATGAAGAGGAGGTGGATTTCAGCCTTGAGTGGATTCAGGAGCTGCCTGAAGATTTGGATGTTTGTATAGCTCAGAAGAATTTTGAAGGAGCAGTTGACTTGCTGAATAAATTTAATAGATATTTGGAAGATAAACCTTTAACTCACCATGTAAAGGAGTTGAGGGCCAAAGTCGATGGAAGAGTCCGCCAGCTAACAGATGTGCTTGTCTTTGAACTTTCCCCAGACAGATCTTTAAGAGGAGGTCCAAAGGCAACACGAAGAGCTGTTTCTCAGCTTATAAGATTGGGTCAGTCTACCAAAGCATGTGAACTGTTTCTGAAGAACAGAGCAACTGCTGTACACAACGCAATACGTCAGCTAAGAATTGAGGGGGCAACTCTGCTTTATATACACAAATTATGTGGTGTTTTTTTTAACTGTTTACTAGATACAGCAAAGGAGTTTGAGATGGATTTTGCTGGCAATAGTGGCTGCTACTCTGCCTTTATTGTTTGGTCTCGCTCTGCACTGAAAATGTTTGTGGATGCTTTTAGTAAGCAGGTATTTGATAGTAAAGAAAGCCTCTCTACTGCTGCCGAGTGTGTAAAAGTTGCAAAGGAACATAGCAACCAGCTTAGTGAAATAGGCTTAGACCTTACCTTCATACTGCATGCCTTACTGGTAAAAGACATAAAAGCTGCTTTACACAGCTACAAAGATATTATTATAGAAGCTACAAAACATCGTAATTCTGAAGAAATGTGGAGAAAAATGAACCTAATGACACCCGAGGCTCTTGGGAAGCTGAAGGAAGAAATGAGAAGCTGTGGCGTGGTTAACTTTGACTTTTATACTGGGGATGATTGTTGGGTTAATCTTAGTTACACAATTGTGGCCTTTACAAAACAAACCATGACCTTTTTGGAAGAAGCACTCAAACTTTACTTTCCAGAATTGCACATGGTCTTGCTTGAAAGTCTCATGGAAATAATACTAGTTGCTGTTCAGCATGTAGACTATAGTCTGAGATGCGAGCAGGAGACTGAAAAGAAGGTATTCATTAGGCAGAATGCATCATTTTTATATGATACTGTACTCTTTGTTGTGGAAAAACGATTTGAAGAGGGTGTTGGCAAGCCAGCCAAACAATTGCAGGATCTGAGGAGTGCATCTAGATTGGTTCGTGTTAACCCTGAGAGTATGACATCTGTTGTCTAATTTAAAAAGTTTGTTCTTGTATTTTCCTAGTTATGAATGTCTCTAATTTGATATCGGATTGTTAAGTTAGGGTACATTTGGAAAGAATTTATGTAACTGTATAGCTATATTATGCATATGGGGGTCCATCAAATGTAACTCTCCTCCCGCAGTATTATTAGCCAGCCTAGAAGAGACTACTGGCCTGGCTAATGTTAATAGACATTTCTGTGCACAGCCCCCATGCTGCACAAGTCATCCCCTCCCCCCTTCGCCCTCCATTGAGCGTGAGTGATGTCACTGGAGGAAGGTCAGGATGCAGGGAAAATTGTGCAGGGGACTCCTGCTTGAACAACCTTATACTAGACATGAGCAGATCGACAACCGGGTGTCACAATCCAGCCACTGAGACTCGCAGCCTCAAGTACAAACTCCAAAGCACTTTTTCATCCGACCCCCTCCCTTGGACCGCTGAGGGATACCCCGGTAAAAGCTAGTCGTCTGGAGTAACCTGCCCAGCCCTACACATCAAGCAACTTACCAGAGACGCTTCTCCCTTGTGGCGCTCTCAAGATGGTGGCACCATGCCGGTACCACCGCCGATTCCTTTCACCGCCTGAAACAAATATTCCTGTGCTTCTGGGAGAGTCTGGGGAAGCGAGCTCAGACGGAACACAAAGAACTCCCAGTAATGGGTGAGCTAGACTGCAAATAGCGGGGAGCAAAGGGGCCACCCTCGGGCACAGCAGCAACACACTCTCCTACTGTCAACCTTCAGGGCACACCCGGGCTGAAGGCTACAAGGACTCAGACCCAGAGCTATCACCCACACAAGCGGAGGGGCCACCCTCTGTTAGGTACATGTGGGCACAGTGGTTGGAGTTCCTGGGACACGGGATTATAGGTTTGTGACTGTCCCTGTCATCAGATTTACCTCCGGTGGTATACAGCTGGAGGTGCGAGTGGGGGTGTCCCTCCAGTCCTCAGATGGGCTCCAGCTGTATACCACCGGAGGGAATCAGATGACAGGCCTATAATCCTGTGTCCCAGGAACTCTAACCACTGTACTCACATGCACCTAACCTAGACACGCTGATTCACCCGTCTATGACTGCCACACTAAGAGCTTCAAACGACTATTTTAGTGTTCTAGACGACTGCAATGAAATCCCCCCCAGCAAAGCCTGTATTGTTCTATAATGTTTTCTCCTACATGACATCTACATGGTAGACATGTTGCAACACACCCATACACATCTATGTGTCTAATCCAGGTTGGAAGTACACACAATGCTTTTAACAAGCATGTAGCATGTTAACCTACACATAATCTACATTAGTAGACAAGCTTACGCAATATGCCATTTTCAAGCTTACCATGTGCAGTCTTACGTAAAATACCAGGCTACTGACACAAGCATGAAATCTCTTCACTCTACATATGTTCACACTAAAGTTCAGCATGTTTTACACATGTTTATTATAATATAAAATTGTGCATGTTCATTCTACTACACCCGAATGTAGATTTTTCACTGCTTTACTTATTCCATAAGCAGGTATTTAAAGTTGAATATGTGATTACCTATTATGGAATAAATAAAGCAGTGGGAAACCTTTCATAAAGAGATCTCCAGGGGGCAGGGAGGATTTATTTATTTTCCCATAAAAATCTTAAATTCGCAGTGATTTTACTACTACAAGGGATTTTGGGTGGGCATATGCAAACAAGTTCAACAAAGAATCACATTTTTGCCTCATTATTCCATTTTGAACATGTATCCACCTGGTGTTTTTTTGCTATGTAAAACAGCTTTGAAACATAACTCAGGAAGAGATGGAAGGCCAGTGGGCCACTCATGGACAGTTGTTAAGCTGTTGATGCAACTCATCAGCAATCCAGAAACCAAGCTTGCACTAGTAACAGTAATGCAAATTTGAGATTTCTGTGGAAAATCTTATGGCTTAACTGGTGTGTGCAGATCTGTATTTAACAATATATATATATACATCCTACTCAAATAAAAATAAATTCATGAATGCTGCCCCTTTGCCGTGTATATTTATCTGTTTTTCATATGTGTAGAAGACCAGTGCAGTCATTTTTTTTTCTTCATCTTTTTAATAGTATAGCTTAAATGAACACTGTAGACAATGATGTAACTGCTTCATCTTATTGAAGTGGTTATAGTGTTTGAAATGGAGCTGTTCTTCCATTTAGCATTAAATCAGTTTTTTTAAATAATTTAATGCTAAACAAGACTTCCCAGCAGCCCATCACTTCTGAGCTACTTGGGCTAATGAGGAAGCATTAACCTGAGCAGTAATTTGTGGCTGTGATTTGCAGTGTCAGCTGACCGTTTACTGGGTATCTATCGCTCGTGAACTGGTAAGAAAGTCAGTGCATATATTATTTGTATATTGCTTCCAAATGTCACCATCCTGTATTTCTTTAAACTAGTGTTTCAGATGTTATCTGATATTATCTAAACTTTAATTCTCGTATATGTTTTTTATTTACATATAACACTTTTGCTTTTGGTCTTTTACAAAATTAAGAATATTTCTGAAATATTTTTCTTCAACCACTCTGTCATGTAAGCTGTTATTGTGGTATGTACTTGATCAAATAAAGCTGGTGATATCTTTAGAAGCATCTCTCAATACGGTCTGTTTTTTGAGGCAGGGTCCGATGCATTGCAATTTAGTTTTTCTCACGTTTTGAACCCTAAATTTGCTGTTTTCCGTCCAATCCCTGATTAAATTTTTTTGCCTCCGTTTACCAAAGTCTAATTTCTGTCACTAATCCTTAGACGTTTAATTTTACAACCTGACAGGAGACTTCATATTTGCTTAAGTCTCTCTTTACTAGAACTCCACAGCAGCACATTAATATAGACAGAAACAACCAATCAGAAAAGAGTAAGGATCAATAAAAGTCCCCTCCCAACCAACTACTTCCTCTTTCTTTGCTGCTCCACATCAAGCACAGGTCAGAGTACAACTTCCTCCTTTTTTTATTTTATTTTATTTTTTTATGGGTGGCCCTGGGATTTATCGGTTACTTATTTCCTTTTTCTGTTTATTGATCGTTATAGGAGTCTTCTATTTGAGGTACTAAGGGGGATGTTAGTTGCCTGCTGTACTAAAGGAGTCTCACTGTGACACCAAATCTTACACTCATGTGGGAGGTGACATTCACATGGTGCGCAGCATCCCTAACACTTGGGCTTTCATTTGCCTGCCAGCCTACCTGTTATTCTATTCTATTATTATATACCTATTGCTACACAGATTGGCACCTCAGTTCTGTCCATCCCAGGGGTCTGGCCTGTCCTTAATTGTGCCCCAATGAATGGCCTGCTTTGTCTGTGCCCTCTTGATTTGGCCTGCGCTGTCTGTGCCATTGCCTCTGGACGCCCGGGCCTGGCTGTTCCCATACGTACACTTGTGCCATGCATGCGTTATCCAGCTTGCTTCTGCCACTATATTGCGGTGCCGCCCCGGTTATTCTGCTGGTGATCTTTGTCATCAGTGTATCCTAGGTGTCACTTTGCATACGGCCCCCTGCTATGGAGCCCTCAACACAAGAGCAGAGCTTGCAGGCTATGATCAATGCGGCTGTTTCTGCCTCCGTGGAAAAAGCCCTGGCCAGAGCCCTCCCGCAAGATTGGGGCTCTAGAGGGACCCCTCACACGGCAGATGACTCTGCTGAGTCAGACTCTCCCAAGAAAGATCAGGCAAGGGCCCACAAGCGCTATTGGAATGGTGAAGACCCTTAGCCATGCTCCCAGAAGGAAAATGCTCTCCCACCTGGCGCAGGCGCTCACCCCCCCTACCCATGGCCGTCCTAGAAGAAGGGTGGGCGGACCAGTCCCCCTCAGATGAGGAAGACAGGTGGGGCAAAGAAGACACAGACGACTCCATGTGGCCCCGTGATTCAGTCGAAGCTTCCACATAAAGGACACCGGTTTCCCTACTGGACGACTATGTCTTCTTGGACGCTAAGCGCGAACCCCTGTTCGACCCTCTGTCCATCAGACACCTGGCCAAGGGTGAATCCGGGGAATCCTTCATCAAAGAGCTTCACAAGCACGTGAACCTCTTCACCACCCTGAGCAAATCCCAGTCCTCAATGAAGAGGGTCTTCCGCCCACAGAGTTCCTGGCTTTTGGCAGGGCTGGATGACAGCTACCAGTTCTCCTCACTCTGTTGCATGCAGGCAGAGTGTTTCACTGCAGGGACATGTGGCGGGAGGTGTCCTCAGATGCGCGTGTGCTTCAGACTGTTCGGGGCTATATCATAGATTTTCACTTCCCGTCGACACAGGTTCACCCTCCCCCGTTTCCTGTGTCTTCGAGGGTGCAGCAGTCCCTGATATATGCAGAGATTCGAGCCCTTTACAAAAAGGGTGCGCTCCAGTGGGCACTGGACAATGGAGGTTTCTTCCGCTCCATATTTCTGTTGAGGAACAAATCTGGGGACTTCGGCCCGGTGATCAACCTGATAAACCTGAATGCCTTTGTGGTTTACCATCATTTCAAGAGGGAGAGCATCCATCTCCTGCAGAACCTCCTATGCCCAATAGATTGGTTCACGAGACTGGACCTGAAGGGCGCCTATCTCTCGGTGCCGGTGGACCCTACATGTCGTCGGTTCCTCTGGTAAGGAACCTTGCCAATTCACCTGCCTCCCTTTCGGTCTCCGCTCAGCACCGTGGTGTTTGACCAAACTGTTGAAACCGGTGACGACACGCCTCCACTCCGAGGGTGTTCGTTGTATCATCTACATGCTGATCTTGCGATGGCTGAATTATCACACGGGCTTTGCAGTCTCCTTGTTCGAGCCGCTAGGTTTCATGGTCAACCGGGAAAAATTGTCTCTCTCACCGTCTCAGGTGATTGAATTCTTGGACTTCGAATAGACGTCAGGGAGTACCTCCTACGCCTTCCTCAGTCCAAGATCTCGACCATTCGGAAGGAAATCCGAATCACTACAGGGCCATGCAACGCCTGAAGGCCCACTTCCTCCGCAAGAGACCCTCCTACGACCAAGTGATTCCCCTCATGCCGGATGTGAAGACCGAACTGCGCTGGTGGCTGCTTTGCATGTCTGCCTGGAACGGCAAGGCAATTTATGGACCGACCCTGGATTTCGTCCTGGAGTCGGACGCGAGTCTATGGAGTTGGGGAGTCACTTGTTCAACCAGCTCCACGGGATGCCCATGGTCGGAGATGGAGTCGGAGTAGCACATAAACTGCCTGGAACTGATTGCAGGCTCATTCGCAATCCAGAGCTTAGCGAGTCACTTTTCCGATTGTTGCGTTCTCAGGATGGACAACATCTCAGCAGTACAGTACATCAACCACCTGGGAGGGGCCCGCTCCCGGATGCTTTCAGAGGTGACGAAGGAGATCTACAGCTTCTGCTTCCATGGCAACATCACTCTCCAGGCGGAATATTTCCCGGGGTTGTCGAATCTGACGGCGGACTGGTTCTCCAGACATTGGAGGGACGCCAGCGACTGGAGTCTCCTTCGTTTTGGTTTTCTCTATCGCGGACCGGAGGGGCCCGATCACAGTGGACCTCTTCGCATGAACTATCAGATCCCAACCTACTTAAGTCAGCTTCCAGACCCGGCTTGCTTGGCGGTGGATGCTTTTCAGGTGTGGCGATCTGTCTCTGGGAGCTTATGAGTTTCCTCCATTTGCTATAATCTCCGGTGGCCTCTGGCGCCTTCCTCGCCAGTGCCTCTCTCCAGGACATCCTACGTTCGACTGACTGGTCCTGGGAAGACACCTTCTGACAATTTTATTTCAGACCAGCGGTTAATGCTTCTTTTGCATTGTTGTCTGAGCATTAAAACAGCAAATATGAAGCCGCCTGTCATGTTATAAAATTGTAGATTATAACGATCATCTTAATTTTATTAATATAGGAGGTGAATATTTCCCTCCCAGTTTCACCCTACCCTAGTTCCTTTTTTGTCATTTAATTTGACTGCCTCTGGTTGGTGGATTGTTCTTCAGGTTTCTGATTAGGTATGTCACTTTTTTTTTTTCAGGAAAGTCTGGGGTGAGATTTCTATTGATATTGTACTATCCTTATTTGATTATGAGGGCTTCATGTTTTTCACAGTACATTTCATTTGCTAACCAACTCTTTTGACTTTGTGTATCTCGTTTAGTTTAATGGTTCATCTACGGATCCACGTTCAAGTTCTTCTTCTGGATGAAGGTTATCGGTTGGCTTTGTTTGACTTCTACTGCTAGATGTATATGATTGTTTCTGTTCTTTGTTTTTGTTGCAGCTTGAAAGAGGAAATAGTTTGTTGGGAGGGGACTTTTATTGTTCCTGACTTTTTTTCTGATTGGTGGTTTCTCTCTATGTTAATGTGCTGTTGTGGCGTTCTAGTAAAGAGAGACTTAAGCAAATATTCGCCTTCTTTCATTAATAACATTAAGATTATAGTTACACTAAAGCTAGTATAAACTACAATTTTAATTACCATTGGGTCAGACCATATCAAGTGTAGCAGTGAATTAACCCCTATGTGACCAGACCGTTATTTCAATTTTCTTACCATTAAGGACCAGGGTTGTTTTTACATTTCTGCGGTGTTAGTTTAGCTGTAATTTTCCTCTTACTCATTTACTGTACCCACACATATGATTATTATATACCGTTTTTCTCGCCATTAAAGGGTCTTTCTGAAGATACCATTATTTTCATCATATCATATGATTTACTATTAAAAATAAATTATAAAATATGATGAAAAAATAAATACACTTTTTCTAACTTTGACCGCCAAAAAACCTGTGCTAAATAGTTTCGAAATTTTTTCCTGAGTTTAGAAATACCCAATGTTAACATGTTCTTTTCTTTTGCAAGCACAAATTGCATTTTGCTATTTCCAAACCATTTTTTTTTTTTTTTTTTAAATTAACGAAAGTTACATTGTAACACTGATATCTGTCAGGAATCCCTGAATAGCTCTTCACATGTATATGGCAACCTAAGGTACTAAACTTGGGGTATTTTGACTCTTTCATGCAACCATTTTACCACTATTATATGCCAAAATAAAAAATGGTGATTGAGAACTTTAAGGGTTACTGCCAAAGAACACCCCAATATGTGTTCAGCAACATCTCCTGGGTACAGTGATACCACCCATGTTATAGGTGTGTCGGGTTCCCTGGGAGCTAAAAGACCTTATTTGGAAGGTGCGCATTCCAGTTTTCCAACTTGGAATTTTCACAGCTGGTCATCATGCACACATGTCCTATTTAGGAAATTTTTGAAGCCGGCCAGTGTAATTTATCACCATCAAACCATATATTTTTGAAAAGTGGCCACCCTAGGGTATTTCAAATGCTGGTATTTTAACACTTTTCATGCACTAATTCTACCACCAGTCTTTTGGGTACAAATTTTTTGTTATTTTTCTCTCACATTGTACTTTAGGCATGAATTCTCAGTTCCTGTTATATTTTACTGACCAAGAACACCCAAATATGTGCTCAGCAACATCTCCTGAGTACAGTGATACCACCTATGCATAGGTTTGGGTTATTTGAGGGGTGCAATGCCAAACATCTGACATGTGTTTATTAAATTTGACACATCTTCTTTGCCTATCTTCTTTTGGGGGAGCTTTTTACATATCTCAATTTATTTTCTTGCCGTGAACGTGCATATATTTGAAAAGTTGACACCCCAAGGTATTGAATATGGAGTTTTTTTTTTTTAATTCTTTATTTTTGAATTTTCATGAGTGTTTTCAGGTGTGAGGGTAACAGAAAAAAAAGGTAGGGTAACAGACAAAAAAAAGGTAGGGTAACAGTATGTGTTAACAAGAGTACAATTTCAGGCATTTCACAATTACAATTGTAATTATAGTGTCTTGCATTATGTAGTCTCATTGCATGTAACAATCTTAAGTTGCTAATTAACATACATTTTTCAGGATTCAGGATAACATAGTAGAAAAGTGGTGTGGGGGTGATCTTCGTGAACAACAGATCTATAGATTTCTCAAGTTGCTAGTTCTATGTTTTGAGTTGTACCGCCTGGTTTCTGTTTTGTGGGCTGCTAGACTCGGTACGTAGGCCTGGGTTTTTAACTTCTTGAGCATGCTTATTCTTGTTTGTTGCCTTAAGTAGTGGTGACATTGTCCATGTGGTCTGTAACGTTACAGAGGGGGCAAGGGGGTACTAAACTTGGAGGTGGGGGCGGGTTGTGAGTATATGGAGAGGGGCAGTCGCCCAGATCGGGTGTGGGGGTCTCCCATGTGTCTTCAGGTCGCCTTGTGGTGGTTGGTTTTATGCTGGGTGTAATGTGTGTTCAGGTCGGATGGTGTTTTTATGACTCTTGAGTGTAGGTGAGTGACCTTGGGATGTGGGAGTTTTTTAATTGTGTGGTGTAAGTGTGACGGTAGTAATCTGTATCACCATCTAGTATTCCATTTTCCCAATAGCAGAATAACCACAATAATCCACAGTGTAAAATAACGCTGGTATCGACAGATAATCCACACATGAACTAAAGCTTAATGCTGGAACAAGACTGATTTACTGGAATACAGGGCACACAGTTTATACAATACCAAACTCCTCCTCTGGGCCAGGCTAGATAATTTGATTTGAGCAACATGCTTAACTCAATTATCTACTGGCCAGAAAAATTACAGTTTTTCCAATTTTTTTTTAAACAATACTTTTTACATAACATATCAATATAAATATTACATCCCTGGCTAGCTGATGGTCTGGGGAGCAACATACTCAAAATTCACGAAAATCCGTTCAGTAGTTTTCGTGTCGCGTTGTGTGGAAGTTTGACCGGCTCACCGCGTGTTGGTATCAGATTCAGAGTTACACGAAATTGGGGCCAAGAGCCGGTCTCCGTTCGGGTCAATATAGTTACATGCGATGTCCAGTCTCTTTACACCATTATCCCCCATGATATTGGTTGTCAAGCCATAAAAGAAATCCTAACTCAGGAAGCTAGGATTCCAGACATTCAAATAGATTTTATAATAGAAGGTATCAATATTATTTTAAACAATAATTATTTTTGGTTTTTAGACACTTTTTATTTACAAAAAAAGAGGTACTGCTATGGGGACTAGGTTTTCCCCTAGTTACGCTAATTTGTTTATGGCTGACTGGGAAAATGAAGGCATATGGGGCAATCATACCTGGCGGGCAAACCTAGTCTCCTATTTTAGATATATAGATGACCTTTTTTTTATTTGGGATGGATCTGAAGAAAATCTTATCAATTTTATTAATTATTTAAATACTAACAATAGGGGCATTACTCTCACATACGAATTTAGTAAACAATCCATAAATTTTTTAGACTTAAATATTTTTATTAATAAGGGACAACTCCAAACAAAAACTTTCTTCAAAAAAGTGTGTGTAAATACAGCTATAGACAGATCTAGCTGTCACTACAAGCCATGGCTAGAAAGTGCCCCAAAGAGCCAGTTTCTACGTCTTCGTAGAAACTGCTCAGAACTCACAGATTTTAATGAACAAGCAGAGTTTAAAAAAAAAAAATTTATTGAAAAAAATTATTCAGAAACAGATCTGAATACCACAATTAATACAGTCAAACAAAAAGAACGAAAAGATCTTCTGACATATAAAAATAAAGAAAATAATGAAACTATGCCACTTCCAGTTATTTTTAATTTTAATAATAAAAGCAATGATGTTAAAAAAATAAGAAAACACTGGCACATACTCAAACAAGATGAGATACTCAAATCAATCATACCTACTCATCCAAATATTGTTTTTAGAGGAGCACCTAATTTTAAATCTATTTTAACTACAAATTTTACAAAAAAATCCCCTCTAAAAAATGTATCATTCTTTCCTCAGACAAAAGGTTTTTTTAAATGCAAACAATGCATTGTATGTAAAACTGTAGACCATGCTATTTCATCAAAAACCACAAAATTTATGTCAAACCAAACTAAAAAAGTGTATGATATTTATGATTTTATAAGCTGCCATACGAAAAATGTTATCTATCTGCTCGAGTGCCCATGTGGCCTCCAATATGTGGGGATGACCACAAGGTGCCTAAAGATAAGATTGAGCGAACATTGCAGAAATATTAAAAATGGATACTTAAATCATACAGTATCCAAACATTTTATTATGCACAATAAAGATCCCCGTTTATTAAAATGTATCGGTATTAAAAAATGTTCTACCTCTTGGCGAGGAGGTGACATAAAAAAGCTACTTGGAAAAATAGAGATGGAATGGGTGTATAAACTTCAGACTCTTATACCCCATGGCCTAAATGCAGATTTTGATTTACACAATTTTTTATGAATTTTTATGTCTGTACCTTTAAATTATGGTTTTAATATAATTTATTCCCATATTACCCTTTCTATTTGCATTGTCTTTTCCTTTTTTAATATAATAAGAATTGTTTTAATATTTGCATTTATAATATTGTTGCATTTGGTGTTTCCTACTATTAATTCATATGTTTTAAGTGAAACTTCATTTCCCATAAGGCATTTCGGCTATTATTGCCGAAAGTCACGTGACCATTTTCAAATGCTTAATTTCTGTACCTTTAAATTATGGTTTTAATTTAATTTATTCCTATATTACCTTTTCTATTTGCATTGTCTTTTCCTTTTTTAACATAATATGGATTTGTTTTAATATTTTTATGTAAAATGTTGCATTTGGTGTTTCCTACTATCAATTCACATGTTGCAAGTGAAACTTCATTTCCCATAAGGTATTTCGGCTATCATTGCCGAAAGTCACATGACCATTTGTAAATGCTCAATTTCAGATAGCTAGCCCCTTCGTTTATATGTTTTAATCTTTGTTGCCAAACCACACTAACTTGAGAACCCCAACTAACTATGTTAATATGGTTTTTGTAATTCCCGCCGCTCTAAACTACAACTCCCATGCGTCCTTGCGGCGGCAACTTCCGAAATGCGGAAGTGCCGCCGGTCACGTGACTTTCTTTAATTTGTTCAAAATCATATTTCTCACCTTCGTTTTAAATCAAAATATATTTTAAATGAGATGTATTACTATAAAGTATGTGCAAAATAAGTTAATTTATATTTTAAATGCCAAGAATATGTTTTCAATTCTGATTGGTTGAATCAAGTTTTGGCGCCAAAATTCAATTAATTATGCTCTTATATAACTTCTATGTGCCAGGTTAACTATGTTACTCCATTTGAAAAAGTCCTTTTGTGACGAAACGCGTTATGGATAATTGAATATTGTGTTTTATACATATATTAAAGTATTTTTGGTCATTTGTTTGTGCCAATTATCTTTTTTATAGACACATATCCTGCTTTTTTACCCTGGCCTTTTTATAATTATTTTAATTGTTTTTTATTGGTTTTAAAAAAAAATCTAAAAATTCCTGGAAGTTTCCTGTACCCAAAGAAATCCAAAGGTGGGGATCAATCCACCCAAGCTATCATCAAAGAGCAGTGGGTCTGCTCTTACTTTGTAAGTACATTTCTTTTATTATTTTATTACTATCTGTCATTCAGTGAGCACTATTGGCTGTTTGTTTTATCCCGAGAATTGGACACCATCCACGGAGAGGAACCTGCCTTATATCCCATAAGCGGGGATTAAACCGCTGTACGCGCTTTACTCCAGAGCTGGACATTAGCTCTGGTAAATGTGAGTTTTATACTATTATTTTTTACGTCTATACCTGAATTTTACATACTACACCATTGGATGTCCTTTTTCCCTCTTTTTATCTTTCATAACAAGTGAAACCACCACAAAAATAGAAGACCAAGGACACCTATAAGAATATACCAGTTGGACTGTCTTTCCTTTTATTGGATTTTATTTAGTGTGCGCAGCCTTTTATTGCTTTTTGTTTTATCTTCAATATACACGAACACTACCATGGTTAGAATCCAGAGAGTTAGTGTAAAGTTCTCCTCTCATTCGATACTTTGAACTTCCCATACGTTGTTCGTGTACAGTTCATGGAAATAGGTCAGACGGGACTTCGATGGAGGACCAGGGCGTGCTGGAGAGCCATGCCGAAAATAGTTCCAGGCGTTTGACGCCTAAGTCCCGCTGACCGCGTTCGGGAGTTTTAAGATGGCCGTCATCCATTGTTCTCACCATGTGTTTGGATCCCGAAATGGCGGCCACCCAGAAGCACTCAATTAGCTTGCGGTTTCGTGTAATAACATGGGATTCTACGTTCTAATTACTACCCAGGGTGGTCCTCATTCGGTAAAATAGCTATTTAACCGAACAAGGGATTATAACCTAGTGAAAATAATTAAACAAGCAATAAAGGCAATACATTTAACGAATAAAATAGCAGGGAGGGAACAAATCGAATGAATGGAGGGTGATTCTTCACAGTAAGGTAGCCATGTGGGGGTGTATGAGGAGGGTGTGGGATGTGGAAGGGGGGTGTATGAGGAGGGTGTGGGATGTCATATCGTTTCTCTTTCCGTCCCGTCCCCCCCCGTCCCGTCATTGCCAGACAAACTACATTTTGCCATCCATGGGTCCCAGTTCTTGTGATAAGATCTGGTGTTTTCGTGGATCAGTACGGACAGTTCGTCCATTTCCATGGCCTCCCCAATCTTTCTCCGGGCTTCCCCAGTGTTGTTGCTGCTGTTCTACGTGTTGCTAGGGCTACCTTTGCCACCAGCTTGTTTTGTGCTCGGGTCAGGTTTTCGTGGGGTTTTGACAGCAACCAAATCCAGGGATCTAAGGGGATATCTGTTTGTAGTGCTCTAGAAGTGGTAGTGGCTATATCTTTCCAAAGTTAGAATATATGCCTGCACTCCCACCACATATGGACGTACGTCCCTTTCTCGCCACACCCTTTCCAGCATCTATCTGAGTCTGTTCGTTTCATTTGTTTAAGTACGACCGGAGCAGAGTTTTAGAGGCCTGCTCCTTGTGGTTTACACATATGGTGACTGTCACCGTGGCCTCCCATATTTCGGCCCAAACCGAAGGGTCCCCTGGGGGGCCCAGATCTCTTTCCCAGGCCTTCACATAGGAGAAGGCTTCGGGGGGGACTTTAAGTGTCATGGTGTTGTATAGATTTGATATTTGGCCCTTGTGTATGGGGTTGTTCAGGCATCCCCTTTCGAATGCCGTGGGACGTGCTACTGCAGCCGCGACGATGCCTGGGGTGAATAGGAAGCTTCGGAGCTGGAGGTAGCTGAAGTGATGAAACGTGTTGTATGGTGTGTCGTGTGGTAGGTCTGGGAATGAGAGAAGACGGTTGTTTTGGTAGAAGTGGCAGATCCTAGTGAGCTCGTTGTCTTCATACCGGACAAAGTGTTGGGGCGCCATTCCCGGGGCAAATTGAGGGTTTCTCAGTATGGGCATTAGGGTTGAGGGTGTGTTAATGAGGTCATATTTGTCTGTCACCCTATTCCATGTATGGATGGCTGTCGTGAGGGCTGGTGTCGTGATTGATGTCTGTGGTCTATGTTGTTTCGGTACCCAGAGTGTTGGTAAGTCTCTTCCAAATAGGTCATGTTCGAGGTCCACCCACCTTTTAATCCCTGGAGGGGCGTGTATGGTTGGGATTTGTGCTAATTGGGATGCTTGGTGGTAGTCCCAGAAGTTCGGCAAGCCGAGACCTCCTTTTTTGTGTGGGATAAATAGGGTTTGACTCTGGCTCTTTTCCCTGCCCAGATGAATTTATCTATATGCATTTGGGTGGTTTTAAAGTCTGCTCTAGAGATTGGTATGGGGGTGCGCATTGGAACAGATACAGGAATCGTGGGAGTAGGTTCATTTTAATCGTGGCTAGTCTGCCCAGCCAAGAGATGGATAGTTTTTGCCATGTCTGCAGATCTCTTTTGGCCTGGTCTAGTAATGGGGGGTAGTTCAGTCGGTACCTGAATTGCAAGTCCGCGGGTAGGTAGATTCCTAAGTATACAGGTTGTTTGGAAGCGGAATGGGTATGTGTGTTGTAGATGTGCTTGTAGGGGGATCTGGAGTGTCGGGGCCTCTGTTTTGTCTATGTTCAGTTTATAGCCTGAGATTTTAGCATATTTATCCTGGAGGTCTAACAGAGGGGGTAGTGAAGTCGCAGGGTCGGTCAAGGTCATGAGTAAATTGTCCGCGTACGCTGCTACTTTGTATTCCTCTCGTCTTATTTTTATGCCTTTTATGTCTAGGTTGTTGCGGATCTTGTGCAGTAGGGGGGAGAGGGAGAAGGCGAAGAGGAGGGGGGAGAGGGGGCATCCCTGCCTCTTGCCATTATGTATCTGGAATGGGGTCTCGAGGGTGTTGGGCAGGAATAGAGGCTGCGGATTGCTTGTTAGAGAGTCCTAGGGAAGCCGAATTTCGTCAGGGTTGCGAATAGGTATAAAGCAAGAAAAGATGAGGGGATGGGTCTGCGCCGATGTGTACACTGAGTATTAAGTCCAATAGGATATATATTATCGTGTCCAAAGTTCTACTTATGGTGGTATCCAGAAGGTATCGGTGTTGTGGAGAGTGGTCCAAATATGTGAAAAATAGAAGAGATCTTACTTACAATTTGCAGAGCTTAATCCAGCTCTGGTGTGGATAGCTTGCAGCGGTATTATCCCCGCTTACAGGATATACGGCAGGTGTCCTCTTCTTTGTAGTAACGGGTGGCCGAAGTTGGAAAAAATAAAATAAAAACAGTAATGGTGCAGTATATTCTACACTTGTATAAAAAATTATATAAAATATGATAGATACACTCACATTCGGTAGAGCTCTGACTAGCTCTAGTTGGTTAGGCGTACAGCGGTATCATCCCCGCTTATAGGATATATGATGAGTGATCTTGACCGGAATATCAGGAGCTCGGAGAGAAGGTAAAACAGCGATAGTGCTCTCAATAAAATCTTAATGATAAAATAATAAAATATACTCACAATGTATAGGGCAGACTAACTGCTCTATGTAACAGCGCAGGTGGTATGATCCCCACCTGGGATTCTTGGAGTATAGTACGCAGGACTTTAAAAAATAATAAAAGAAGTATATAGTATAAAATGTATATAAAACGTTTGTAAAATAGCCAGGTAATAGAAAAGATGATGGTTTAAACGTAAAAATGACTAAAATCTTTTTATTAACAATATATAAAACAGTAAAAAATATCCAAACGTGTTTCGCCAATATAAGGCTTTATCAATGGATATCCATTGTTATCCATTGATAAAGCCTTATATTGGCGAAACGCGTTTGGATATTTTTTACTGTTTTATATATTGTTAATAAAAAGATTTTGGTCATTTTTTACGCAAATAGCTGCGGGTACTTGGAGGGCAGAGGCCAACAGCGCTTTGCCCTGATGCCAGCGCTTCTGCTGGGGTGAGCGGGTTGCAGGACAGTCCTGTGACAAAGGAGTTGGTAGGGCAGAGGCCAGCGGCACTCTGTCCTGATGCCAGCTCTTCTGCTGGAGGAATTGGGGCATAGTCCTGCCCGGTGGCAAACGGAACGTGGGGGTTAACCCTGGGCCCAAGTTAGGAGTTAGCTGGGGAGGGGAGAATTGGCTTACCTCCTCCTCCTGATACTCCTGCGGCCGCTGGGAAGGGAGGTCGATGTTCTCCGCTCCCTGTGGAACATGCTGTGGCTGGGGAGAGAGACTGGTTGTCTCCTCTCCCTGGAAGGCACACTCCGGCTGGGGAGAGAGGTCGATGCTCTCCTCTCCCTGTAGCTGGGTCTGCCGCTGGGGATCTGGGCCGCCTGCCCAGCATCCCTGTAGGGCCGGTAGAGAGACTACGGTCCCATCTCCACCTGCCTGCTGGGGGTCCTCCCAGGACCAGACTATGAGGTCTGCTGCCTCGGGTACCTCTGGTTGTGGTTGGGGAAGGAGACCGGTTGTCTTTTCCCTCTGCACGGTGCACTGCCGCTGGGGAGGGAGATCGCTGCTCTCCTCTCCCTGTAACTCAGGCTGCCGCTGGGGAGGGAGGTCGATGCTCTCCGCTCCCTGTAACTCACCCAGGGGTTGGGGATCTGGGCCAACTGCCCAGCATCCCTGTAGGGCCAGTAGAGAGACCTCGGTCCCATCTCTACCTGCCATCAGAGGTTCCTCCCAGTATACCTCTACGATATCGTTCCAGCTGAAGGACTCTCGATCTGGCTCTGCTGCTGTGCTCTCTAGGGGGACCTCTGGATGCTGTTGAGGAAAGGAACGGGTTGTCTCTTCCCGGGACCCCTGGATGATGTGCTGGTACTTCCACTCCAGGTCACATTCCTGGGTGACTAGATACTGCAGGTCTGCCTCCAGGCCAATAGCTCTAGGGAGTCCCAGCTTGTCTTCCCGGTCATCATACAGGTCCCAGAAGCGTGAGTCTGTAGCCCTTCCAAAGTCATCGTCCATATTCTCCCAGAATAGATCAGGGCCATTGTAATCCCCACACTCAGGGAATTCATACTCAGCCATCTCTGGAACAAGCTGAGTCGTGTACCACTGTAGCGCCTGGTATGTGTTGTCGAGCCACAGTTCGCTGTATACTAGATCCTCTAGTTTAGTCACCCACACTGGAAGGGGTTGTTTGCCGAGGAGGGGCATCCGCTCTGCCATTCGAGCCTGGATTTGCTGCCCTCTGCTGATACTACGATCACCTCGCCAACGCTGAACTTCCTGTAGGGCTTCTTCCCACAGCTCGGCTCCTGCCTCACTTCTGTACCCACACATCTCCTCTTCTGAGACTGCCCCATCTCTCCAGGATAGGAAGCCATGCAATCTGTCGAGGAACCTCTCCTCCATTTTGGCTGCTGTGCACGGACTTGCTGGCTCCATGCTGCTCTAGGTAGGGACGCTGCGCAGTGGCTAGCGTTGCCCTCAATACTCTCTCATCCGATACCAGTGCTGTTGGGTGCTGCTCCTTGCGCTAGGACGCCATCCCACCGCTGCCACCAAATGTTACGGTTGCCTCCAGGCTGGCTGAAAGTTGGACCGTAGAAAGGATGCTCCTAGCGCTCACCAAAGGACCATCAGCACCGTAGACACCATAAGTACTGCAGACTCAACGAACCACCGCTGCTGGGCTAGGATCTCGCCGTCTGCTATCCACCCTGGACCTATGACCAGGCTCCAGGTTCCAGTAGGTGAACCTCTTCCTTCTGTAGAGCGAAGCAGGAACAGGAACAAGAGCTCTTACAAAAGCTCAGTAGCTAAGGGAGTATGAAGAGCATAGCAATCCCTGTAGTGATTATAGCTGTCCCCTACAAACATGAGTCAAGGCTACAAGTAAGAGGGTCAAGTCATTCTGTTTATTGGCACACAAAGAACCTTCTTTTATGCAGGTTTCCCTGAGATAGGACCACCCACAGGGTTTTACACAACAACCAATAATAAACGTACATTACAGAAACACTCCCAGCAATTACACACAAAAATCCTCCCCTCTGCCTGGGATCTAATTATGGTACACAATGGGTTAACAATTAAACACAGGCAATAAAAATACAGTTTTTACCCATACCCTGTAACTTTAAAACCATACATCCAATCTTCATACAAATTACATATTTAGAATCAATCTATTCAGGGGAGCAACATATTAAAAAATGGCACAAATCAGACAAGGGGTTCAAAAGTTAGCAAAAGTATATTTTGGGGCCTGGCTGGCAGCATGGTTATCTGGCCCAAACCGGTTTTACAGAGCCCTCTATCCAGGAGACAATGGGGAAAATAATCCACTTATATCCAGGGATAGAGGCAGACTCCATTAACCACATGTTAGCAAAAGACAAAAATACAAAACTCCTATCATACTGAACAGAACCCCCACATTCAACCTATCCCCAGATGGCTTGGATCTGAGCGCTCAATATATCCAAACAGCGCTCAGATCCCACAAATACAGTCAAATCGCCATACTCACTAGGTCCATAGACATGGGGCAGAAGGCTGGCAATTAGGCTTCTCCATAACACAGGGAAGCAGGGCAATTTGTCAAATAAAATAAGTTACAAATGGCACTGTAACAATGTCTGCTGCTAGTGATTCTCTAGCTTTGTTCGTAAGTTGCAGTAGGGGTATGTTATGTAAATATTTTGTGATAGCCTCCTCTGTAGCGTGTGCATTGTGTCCGGAGAGGGAGTCATGGTCATATAGGGATGTGTAGAATTGGGTGAAGGTCTTTGCTATCTGTTCTGGTAGGTCTTGTGTTTGGCCGCCTGGGGTAGTGATCGTGGTTAGGCGTTTGCGTTGCGTCTTCTTTTTAAGTGGGCCAAAAGGGAATCCGCCTTGTTTGATTTCTCATAAAACATCAGTCTTGTCCATAGTAGTGCTTTTTAGGAGTCTTGGGCTATGAACTTGTGAATGGCCTGTTTGTCCATCACTGTTGCATTAGGTCCAGGGTGAGGTTTAGTTTGTGGGTGTGTTCTGCTTTTTGAAGTTCTGTTAGGGGGTAGTCTAGTTGAGCCAGTTTTTATTTTTTATGGGCCATGGCCGCCGAAATGAGGCTGCCCTGATTGCCGCCTTATGCGCTGCCCAGAGGGTACCCTCTGAGGGCACCAAACCTTTGTTGATTGTGAAAAAATCCTGTATGGCTTCTTTAATTGAGTTTTTAATGTGTGGGACATGGAGCAGTGTTGGGTTCAGGCGCCATGACCATTGTTTGTTGGTGTGTGGGAGTATTATGGTTATGGAAATGTCTGCGTGGTCCGACCACGTGATTTGTCCTATCTCCGTATTGTCTACGTGTTTTAGTAGGGACGGGGAGGTCAGGTTGTTCAGTCCCTTGCAATTTATCGAGACACATTTTAGCTTGGCCGATAGCATTGCGTCATAGTTTCGCTTCTATTTGGCGTGCGGGGAGGGGGGGGGTCCAAAGGGGACTGTGAGTGGGGCTCAGGGGTCAGGCAGGGGGTGGAGGAGGAGGGGGTTCGTTGTGATTTATCTGTGAGGGCTTGGTCTTACTAGGTTCGTGCCAAGCCGGGTGGGCGGTGGGGTTGTTGTGGGAGTGAGTATCGTCACCCATGTGAGGGGTGAGCCACCCCGTGGTGTGTTACCTTGTGTACCTGGTACTTTTTCTTTTTAAAGTTGGCTTCCCCGTGCGGTCCTGTGGGGTCCCGGTCTGGAAGTGCCCGTTAACTATGTACAAGGAAAAGAAAACATTTTTTTTAAGAACGGTTTGTGGTGTACAGAGACTATCAGTAAGGGAAGAAGGGGTCCCTTGTCGCAGCAGTTGTCGTCTACTATTCTCTTGTCGCTGTTATTTGTCTCTAGGGGAGGGTTCCCGTCCGGGGGGGTGAGCGGTCAATGCCCGGTCAAGCCGTGTCAGCTCGTAGGCCCTCCGGGGCGGGTATATAGGCTTGTTGGGGATGGGGCCTTTTCCTAACTGTTTTGTCATCTAGAGGTCTCCGGTTAGCGTTCTGCCAGTCAGTCAGTCCGGGGGTTTTATACCTCTGGGGTTTCAGCAGTCATATTTTTTTTAGTTAAACCTTATTCCTTATCTCCTCTTATGTGCCCCCTAGCTCACCCTTCCCCCTTCTCGCCCCTTCCCCCCGGCAGGTACATTTGAGGCATATCATGTTATCAATCCCCCCTCCCTCCCCGCTTTAGCATGATCCCCATAAAAACAGTATAAAAACATATAAAAATAAAGTTTGAGAGCAAAGGATATTGGCGAGAGCAAGAGAGCTTATTGGTTGTATGGAAGTCCTGGGAGTGAGAGTCTCTGCTTTTGCACGTGATGGGAGGTTAAGGCCGGTGTGGGCGGTCATCTTGGGACCTCTGGGGTGCTCTCTTTCGTGGTGTGCGTCGATAGGCTGATGGTCTCTTGGTATCTTTGTGCCCAGGGCCTGGTGGTAAAATTGGTTGCAAGGGGAGAAGTGTAAGGCCCAGGGAGTCCGCGAAGGGAACCACCTCAGCAGCGTTGGACGGTATGAACGTCTGGTCATCTCTGTGCACTACGCACGTGGTGGTTCAGGGTATTCGTCAGCTGCCTGAGGTCCCTCCATTTCTTAAGGGTTGTGGGTGCCAGGTCCTGGTGATTTTGCGTTGTTGGTAGGTTGGAGGGTGTTGTCTCGCTTTCTGGACCAGTTGCTCCTTGATCGGGAAGCGATGCATACGGACTATTACACCCCTGGGGGTGTCTGGATTCAGCGCCTGGGAACGGTGTGCTCTGTGGGCTCTGTCCATTATATGAGGTCTTGTGTTGAAGCCTCCGGCAGTATACTTTTGAACATGTCAATGAGAGTGGCCTGTAATTGGTCGCTGGTTACAGTTTCCGGTAGGCCCCTCACTCTGATGTTATTTGTTCTGGACCTGTTGTTGATGCCTTGATGTCGAGGCATCCTGCAATACTTCTTCTGACTGCTGGGCCGCCTAGTGATCGATCCCCAGGAGCGATCACTTCTGGGTTGCCCTACGTGGTGCCCGGCCATATGCTGGTTATAGGCCTTTGCATACTGGCTTCCTTGTGCTCTCAGCTCTGCCATGTACAGAGATCTCCACAATCCTCTGTGTGGATGGTGGTAAGAAGGTACACATTGCTCTTGAATCTATACTAATCTTCCAACAGCTCCTCTTGGTGCAGAGCTAAGGTCTTGCACGCACCCTTCTTAGCCGGGTGCGTGCAAGTTGTCCTGGGAAACCTGCGCGCTTCTTTCTGATTGTATTGCAAGCTACTATATCAAAACAATACAGTAGTTTGAATAAAGGGACACTGGTATGAAAATTGTCTATATACTAGTGGTACCCGTTGTTCATCAGGGGAAATATCCGGCACTGCCAGCTGGAGCAGCACGTCTCCTTTTGGCAGGGGGCCTAGGAGCCGCAGATACTGTATCTAGTGATGTAACCGCACCTGGCAGGGTCAAAATCGGGGTCAGACTCTAATGCAAGGATGGCATACGCCTCCTAAGTCCTATACAACCTCTGTGACATGATCGCAATCACTTTTTTTAGTGATCTGTCACAAAACAAAATCACACAAAAAATTAACCCCTAAAAAAAATGCACAGACCGCAAAATAAGTGCTGTTATGCAAGAGCCAGTGATCTATACAGTGATCACTGGCAGGATAGGGGTTAATAGGTCTGAAAAGAGCCAGCGGGTCTCTCAAAAAAAATGAAAAAAGAAAAACTGCAGAGCAAAAAAAGTGCTGCTGTGCAAGAGCCAGTGATTTATAGTAATCACTGGCAAGATAGGGGTTAATGGCTCTGAAAAGAGCCTTTGGGTGTTACAATTTTACAGATCCCTACCTAATCTCTCTACCTAAACACAGATCTCTTTCTCTCACTAAAACATAAGTGAAGAAAGGGATATCCACATTGATCATTGACGAATATTGACCTGACCAGACAAATGGGGATCATAGTAATAATAAATATTATTATTGGGGCTAGCTCTGATTGGATGAGCCTAGCCTGCCTCTATGATGACGCAGGCTAGGGACACCCCTAGAAGCCCCATGATGCACTGCCTTTAAAAGGCAGTGCCATATTGGAAGCCACATGGCTGGGGGGGATTTTATTTAAGTCTTCACTGAGTGCCTCGACCCCTCGAGGCACTCAGCACACAGGCAGAGCATCAGAAGCCTGCCCGACTGCTACACGGCTGGGCACCATGTAGGGCAACCCGGAAGTGATCGCTCCTGGGGATCGATCACTAGGCGGCCCGGCAGTCAGAAGAAGTATTGCAGGATCCCTCGACATCAAGGCATCGCTGCAATACCCTTAGAGCGGCTTTCAGTGCTCATATTTGCCGCGGACATACTAGGTACGTCCATGGTCCTTCAAGGACCAGCTAGGTTTAACCCTTTTTGCTGTTTACAAATGGGTTAATCCAGACTCTAGTGGCTGTCTCATTGACAACCGCTAGAGGCGCTTCCGCGCTTCTCACTATGATTTTCACAGTGAGAAGACGCCAGCGTCCATAGGAAAGCATTGAGAATGCTTTCCTATGAGACTGGCTGAATGGCGCGCGCGCATTCAGCCAGGGATGTCAGTAGAGGTAGGAGAGTCCCGGCGCTGGAGAGTCCCGGTGCCAGGAAAACGCACTTTAGTGGTCCTTTAAGAACCGTTTTTGTTGGTTGTACCTAGTACGTCCGCGGTCCTTCACGGGTTAAGTCAGTTGTTTAACCACTTATAATGTCTCTATTATATATTTATTTATTTATTGTGATTACCTCTGTGTTGGTATTGCCAACCAACCCGTTTTTTTGTTTTGTTTTTTTTTACTTTGTTACAAATGCCATCTTTGTGTCGTGGCGCTTGATAAATTCTAGTTATGCAGATTTTGCTGGAAACCTGAATATCTCTGTTCTGGATAGTCCTAGCTCCTTGGACCGAAAACTGCTGTCTTGGGCACATTACAAGTTGCATGTATTTTTATAAGCATTTGCACATTCTTGTTTCTTAGACTTGGAAATCAAAGCATTCATGAGCATTACATTAGGATTTATGTTCCACTTTTAAGGTTATTTTATAATGTCCAAATATTTTTAAGAGGTTTGAATCTCATTTACTGCACCCAGACTTATTATATACAATAAAACCTCCCAAAAAATGTTAAATAATAAATAATAAAAATTTTTATTATCCCTCCAATGGACATTAGATGTAAACCCACCTTCCACGTCAAGGTGTAGAATATTGCATATTCTATGTTTCTATTGATTATATATGGATGTCTGGATTGGCATAAGTAACAGATGGTATCAATAAGTCACAAGGTTTTCTTGTATGAGAGCTCTGGAATGTAAGTTAGGGGTTTTGTCCTTATATGGCTTGAGTTATGCTCTGACGTCAGTATGGGCACTTCTATATAGTAACTGAACAAATGGACACGAGGTCTCTTGGCTCTCTTTCCTGTACGAGATGTAACTCTCCCATCAGAAATTACCATCTGCTGTTGAACATCTGTTATCCTGTAACATCATTTGTTGTTTTATTATGTATCAGTAACTAAGAATAAACCTG